AGTAGATTTCTCTCTCGAGATTCACCCCCTTTTTATATATATATATATATATATATATCCATTTGTGTGTTGTCTAAAGCAAGGCTCGGACCCAGGACCCTAGGGGTCTTACACATTCTGCCTACTAAAGAGCTAGTCAATACGAGCGCGCGCCACGTGTATATATATATATAGCACATCATTATAGAATCCTATGGAGAAATGGATACTTAATCATCTTGGATCAAAAAAATGAAAGGATTAGCTTATCCTATATTTCTTCCAAGAGACCATTTTGTTTAACTGGTTTAGGTCAACCAAAAACCCAATTAAGCTTGAAACAAAAAACTCCTAAACATTTGGTACTTCATTCCTTGATGACAATATTAGATCCTAGCTTAGACACTGGATGGAATGTTAATTACAATAGGTTAAATAGTGCTAATTTATTGAACTAATAGGTGATTCAATTCTACCCTTGGTAATTTTATGCTCAAAGGATCACACCCTAAAAAATAATAATGATTCTACCCTTGGTAAATTCATGTAAAATGAATCACACCCTGAAAAATAATAATGATATCAAGAAAATCAATAGATTATAAGTTTATTTTTTAATTCTAAACTCTGAAGAATAAGTTAGTTAATTACATTTTAATATAGCATTAAGGATGTCACAGTCGTCCAAAGGACTTTATCTCCTAAGAGTCAATGCAAGAAGATAATAGTCACTTACCTAAAATAATGAAGCCCTCAACCAATTCCATGGACAAATACGCATCCTATCACCGCAGTTAACTTGATGGAGTCACAATAATGGTTCTATGTGGGTTTTGAATTGCGCGTCATGTTCTTCAAAAGAATTAACAACTCTAGACACGAATACTTTCCGCAATTCAGTCTCAACTTTTAAGTGTTTTAGATCAACAGTTAGGATTGGAGAACCACCATGTTTTTCGGTATCATCAATCACATTCTCATTTCGTTCTTTAGTACTATGACAGATGTTTTCATTAGAAGCCTTTACATCAATAGAAGCACTTCTATAATTGAATTTAATGATTCATCATCTTTCCATTTTGCAGATTTCTCTTTTGCAGATTTATGTATCTCTATGTTTTTCTTCATTTTTTTCTTTGATCTGTTGTTAACAGCAGTAACTACTTCATCAGATTTTCTAACCACAGATAGTTGCTTTTCAATAATATCTTCTGTACCAACAGTAACAATATCCACTTCATAGCCCTAAAAAATATCATGCAATGAGCAAAAGAAAACTAAAAAAAGATTCAACCAGAAAAAATCTGAAGCAGATCAAACTTTTCAGATGCAAATTATATCTATCAAAAAATGCTAGAAATCTAGGGGAAAAAAAGGCGTAAGGGTATGTATAAAAACAGCATTAAATCTTCAAACATAAAATATTAGGAAGACTATGCATTCTGTTTTACATAAATAAAATATTCAACATGAAAATAATTTGTGGTGGGTGTACCCAAACAGCCCCTCTAGCAGATAAGTGTATGGATTTTTATAACAATAATGGAATACGAAACGCAACTTTACCAAATGTCGAAATTAACGATAGATTTCTATACATTCTCTGTCTCACAAAATACTGTCAAATACAGGAAGACGAGTGCTATTCCGTGCAGATTTGAGCATTAGCCGATAAAAAAAAATCAGCAAATCACAAGGAAAAAAAAAATAAACCCTAACCCAACAAGAGCATAGAAAATCACAATCCAAACATTAAATCACATTAATGAATCATGAAATCAAAACAAACGGATCGTTAACACTTAAATTGCGCAGTTCAGAGGAGACCAACCTGGTCGTCTACCGGCGATGGGAGAATCGTACTCCTCTTCCACCTCTTCGCCGCCGCCATCACCATTGGTGTCTGAGAGAAGATTGGACGAAGTGAGACGCCACTCATCTTGGTCCTCTAGGACTGGCACCTTAGAAATCGGTCGGACATTTATTGGTTGCTCTATATACAATTTGTTAAAATTAAATAACGTCTTGCCCTTATAGCTCAGTGGTAGAGCGTCAGTCTTGTAAACTGAAGGTCCGTAGTTCGATCCTGCGTGAGGGCATCTTGATATATGTTTTTTCATTTATAAAAAAAATCCAACAAATATTTTAGAGCTTAATAAAATAATTAAATTTCTTTCTTCATATTATATTAATGTTTTGTATGTTAATCATGTCACGTTGATATATAACTTTTATATTTGTATAAATACTAAAGATTTTTGCCATCGCATGCACAAATTTCATAATTTCTCTTTTTTTTTATGCTTAATATTTGAATAAATACACATAAATTAAGTGATATTTTAAACTTGATCCCAATTAACACAATGTCATCACCCGGCAAAGGAATTAAAAATAATGATTTTACTAAACTTGAAATCAAATTAACCGGCTCAACGGGACAAGCTTGATGATACCAAAGATAGTTTAATCTAAATTAAATCAAGCTCAAATGGAGATATTAAGTCATTTTTTAAATTTCTTGGTGTCTAATTGGAAAGTCAAATGAATTTCAAATATGATATTGTTATGGTTGAATCAAGTGTCTTGACAAGACAAATTCAATTAGTCCAATTTCACTCGATTCTGACATCATTAAGGCACTCAAAAGTTCACAGAACGTCATCTGATTGAGTGAACCTCTTCGATGCATTTGATTAATGACATGAAATCCTTCCTTATTTGTAGGGAAGCTTCTCCCATGCTATATAAATAGAGTTTTACCCTCTTTTTGAGGCACGCATTTTCTGTCCGGATACCTGACGTATCTATATGTCAGTGCAGGTTATTTTTGAGTTGTTTTCAGGTTATTTCTGGGTTATTTTCAATAATCCCGAAAAAATCAAGAAATAACCCAAAAATAAAGACCGCGGGTTATTTCTGAGTTATTTCGGGATTATTGAAAATAACCCAGAAATAACCTGAAAATAACTCAGGAATACCTTGCGTCGTATGTAGAGCTACGTCAGAAGTCCGCACAGAAAAATTTTTGTCTTTTGAGAGGGGAGCTAGACCTATCTAAACTAGGAAAAGAGTAAGTTCAACCCCTGTGTTCTAGACCTAAGTCCAGTAAATGTCTCTCACTTATGCAATCGTCGATCATCGTCGACCACCGTTTCAAAGCCGAAGTCGACCATTATCGGCTGCCGCCAACCCCTTACGGCGTCACGTGCGTTGCGAAATCTTAACATACATTGTGAAACAGCAAAGTACTTGGTGGGGCAGTACGTCATTATGAAGATAATGTAACAATGCACATCGAATATGGTATACTTACATGCCCCACATTCGTTGCAATGAAGCCTCCCTGAGATGAAGAAACAATGCGCCCCACAAGAACTACATACAATTGTCATACATGGGATATAGTGATTTTCTCCGGACTCTTGAAGCTCTCTCTTTGTTTCCCACCACTGTGGTCTACGTGGCTGACCACGAACATTATCACAGCTCATGTAGCTCCCACTTAAAGTCTCTACAACATACGAACGTTATCTCTATTCATTCAGCTCTCAACTCTGAACTTTGTGGTCTATAGACATACAACTCACACAACTCCAAACTCTGTCCTTTGCGACATACACAACTCCAAACTCTGTCCTTTGCGACTTACATACATTATCACATCTCATGCACCTCTCAACTTTTGCTTCTACAGCTTATGAACGTTATCATAGCTCATGTAGCTCCCAACTCTGGTCTTTGCGGTTTATGGACGTTAACACAATTCATATAGCTCCAAACTCCATCCTTTGTGGTCTCCAGACATTATGACAACTTATGAAGCTCCAAACTCTGATCTATATGGCTTACGAACATTATAACAGCTCATGCAGCTCCCAACTTCTGCCTATCTGAATTGCGAACATTACCATAGTTCGTGCAGCTCCTAACTCCACCTTTGTGGCCTATAAACGCTATCTTAGCTCTTGTAGCTCCCAACTCTTGACTCTAAGAACAATATACATTATCTTGGCTCATTCAACTTTTAACTCTGCCCTTCATAGTCTATGGACGTCATCACAACTCATGCAGCTCCCAATTCAAGTTATGTTATTTTTAAAAATATTTTAAAAAATCAATCTAATTTTGTATAGCATGATAAAATTCTGAATCTTTTCCTAGAATATATTGAAATTTTATTCTTAATCCAATCAGAGTGATATCTGAATTTTATAATTTCATAAATAATAAAGATTTAACCATTGGACGCATAAATTTCACAAATTTTTGAAATAATAACAAAAAGAAGCTCGAGAAAATCACAAGAATAAAGAAACAAAAATATTGGAGCATAAGAAGAATAGAAAGTCCATCTTATGTAGGGCTGTCAAAACAACTCCTTGTTCTTGAGCATCTCGTGTTCGATTTGTAAAGTAGCTTGTGTTCGATTCGTTTGCTAAGAAAACGAGCCGATAATGAACAAATTTTTTTCGCTCGATTTAGAGACAACCCGGACATAAACAAAATTTGGTTTGTTCATGTTCGACTCATTTTAAATCAAAATAATTAAATTATATATATATATATATACACACACACATATATATATTACATAATTGATCAGTATTTTTAAAAGCAATTTAATTGATTATAATGCTTCAAAGATTTATAACCAATTAAAATTATGAATTAAAGAATAGAATCAAAATATATTAAATTCTATTTAAATGAATATTTTAATATAAATAATATAATTTAAATCTCACCTCTACTATTAACATCAGACGGCTACGTGATTACTGCTATCAAAATAGCTCGTTATTCGCAAACAGCTCATCTTTAGCTTGCTAAACAAATAAGTCGAACATGAAAAAAAAAATTTTTGAGCTTGATGTATAAACTGGTCGAACACAAACTGTGTTATTACTCAGCCAAACATGAACTGAGTCTTGTCTCACTCAAACTCGACTTATTTACACGCATAACTTTATGCAGCCCGATAATATTTCCATTATTTCCCCAGAGAGATGTGCTTATGAAAAGAAATAACGAAATAGCTTTTTTATTATATTTAGATAAATTAACTGAAACAAAATCGACGATTAAATATATAAATAACCGCTATTTTTTATCAAGGAAAATTATTAAAATAAAGACTTTCGTAAATTAAAAAAAACTAATTAATAAGAATACATCTACGGAAAATTAGTTCAAGGTAACAAAAAGAATATCTAAGATTTTAAGTGCCTTAATACAGAATAAAAAATAATAATGCATTTTAAATATTCAATCATATTTGATTTGTTTACAAAAAAAAAAAAAAATGTTTCACATTAACACCAAGCTGTGTGCGCATCTATATTAAACGTGAAAATATTACATCAAGAGTCTTGATGCAATTTCATGTGTGGATGATGGTATTTACATGTTATTGATGGTATTACAGTGTTATTTTACCAAAATAATACCACAATACTACCAATAACACCATCTGCACCTAATTCAAATATAGGTCATTCGGATGTATTATATTTTCATATTAAACACCAGCCAATAAGCATGACCAAAATAAATTTCAAAAATCAAAATTTTATTTTAGAACTGAACCAAATTGAAAGTTCAGCCTTAAAATACATCATTTTCCAACTGACAACAAGATTATTCTGCCCATAAATTGAGTAATAAGTACCACAATTTGGCTTTACATAACAAAATTTTTACTCTAAGAACTGACTTGCGAAACAAATGAATAAATCAAGTAAATTACACTC